TTGGATTTTAGAATAGTATGCTCGAATCAAGTATCGTTCGATTATTGATGGTGGTGTTGGGTAGAAGACGACCGTTCAGAGTATACCCTGTTCAGGATGAAGAGCCGAGTCGTCCAAGCCACTTTCGCTTGTTCGCAAGCCTGTAAGAAAGCGTTGATTTTGGAAACTTTAAAAGATACAGATTAGAAATTTAAAATACATATCCACGTGCTCATACACAGGATATACATCACTTTTTTAGTTATCTTCTCCAGTTTCCATTGAGACATGGTTTCACAAGCATGGCTTGAAATTGATGTGCAAGATACACAGATACATTTTCGATGTATTTGTGATTAGGGATATTTCACTTATTGGATGCCACCCTTAGTTTCCCCCAAAATTGAAATGATCAACTCATTTTTAAGGGTATATTCATTTCGTTTGGTTTTTACATACATTTTGATCTCTTATTTCAAGAATACATTTTCCGTCATATGTGGCACAGCCGCTACATAAAACTCGAAAGTTGTGCGCTTTTGTGTATATATCAAATAAAATTTAAATGTTTGGAATGATAGCTCGGAACTGTGTTCCGGGTATCTTCTAGTCGGGCAATTCTGACCATAGCACTTTTACTTGTTAAATTTCCCTGCATTGCGCAAACAACCCGCGGCGTTGGATTCAAAAGGACCCCCCCGCTGCGTATTTTAATCTCATTAACTGTGGCCGTTGTTCAGCACATAACGTTGTTTTAGTTTCACCAAAAAGCAAATTGCATATTATATCCTGGGGATACTGCTTATGGAGCTAACATGGTGTTGTGTGCGCGTTTGATTTATTGCCTATTTTGGCACAATTGTTTAATTAAACAAAAAATGGAATTGAAAACGAGAGCTGCGCAATAGTTTGAGAGATAACGACAATTGCTCCCCAAATGTATTATAAATAATAGGAGTATTTCTGCCTGGCATGTGCCAAGTTCTTACTTTTAACTTGAATCCAATTTTCACTTGTCTACCAAGAACCCCCAATAGTAACCCGATGTATGGATTGTGTGGAAATTGTTACAACATGTTTACATTCCGGTACTCGATACTTAATTGCTCTATTTGCGGGCAGCACATGACAGTTGAGCCCCTGACGATTGCTTAAAAGGGGGATTTGAAAACGAACGGAAACTTATACTTTTAATAATATGCGTATGAATTGTACATATTTAAGTGCGTACATATATCATTAGCTGTTTTCTAAGGTGCTTCAGTACATTTGCATGTTGTTGTTACGCTTAATAAGTTCGTTAACAAGTCCTCAAATAACATATATATATATTTATATATATATATATATATATATGTGTATATACAATAGATATATATATATCGTTAGTTAATGTTTAATTTGAATTGTCAAAGCTATTATTTAAGTCGTGCCTCACGGCAACCAGAAAGGGTTGAGAGCACACTTTGACAATGTACATATTCATTGACTAGAACTTTTGTTAAAATTTTGGCTTGATATCTAAATAATTATGGGACAACTGAAACCAAAATCGAAACGCTATCGAGCCCTTTTCGGAACGCACAATTCAAATGGTAATAAATTGTAGAGCCAACTGCTAACCGTTCCGAGGCTGCACGCAATATTCTGTTATTCTGTCCACGCATATCTCGACCATCCATGTGTTCATACATAGATCGATAGATGGCTAGCCAAAATTACATTTAATTACTTACGACAGGTTGGTGGTTTTCGATAAACACAGGAATCAGACAGGCTGTCCGCTTCTTTGCTGCCAACTGTCAGAAAATGCAAGGTATCCCAAACGATGGTTCGTGCGCCATGTAGAAAGAGTTAGGGAGTAATTAGCAGCAGAAGTTACTTAGTTCCTTAACCTTAGAGCAATAGCTTCAAGGACCAGAGAGGACACACTTGTCAGTGCAGTGTATCTCTAGACAATTACCCCAATTTCTCACAGACATATTCTCAAATACACACACGCAAGCGGAAAGACGTGACAGAGCCCGAGATGATTATCTGCTAGAGTTAAATTCGATACCGTCTATTAGCCTCGTTATTTCCCCTTTGCCTGCCAGTTTTTGAAGTGGTATCGTGTGTCTCAAAGCGCGCCAGGACCTGTAGTGCGCTTGGGTGCTGCGGTGAACAATGAAATTTTTCCGAACACTCTGTTGTACCTGTCCAAGTCCTGTGTACCATTATTGTCGATCATCTACTGGTTGGTTTACTGTGTTATTTTGCAGTGTGGCTCCCACGCTGCGCCAATTGTTTCCAAAAAATGTTCCAGGGCGCTACTCCATAATGATGAAATGGGAGTCGAGCTCAGACAGGAAGCGCTTCACAGTGTGTTCGCTGTTTGGTGTATCCGCATTGTGCAGCATATCATTCATCATTCGTCCATAAGATGCCAATGCCAATGCCATTCGAATGTTTTGTGTACTCTTTGTCATCTAATATCCGCATTCAGTTTCAAACGATGCAAATGCAACTTGTGACTATATCTGGATCATTTTGGTATGGGTTTCGCTTTGAGTTTGTCTCTCGTAGCTGACTATTTATCAGATTTCCTGCACACTCGCCAGTTCTCACAATTAGCTCTTCAGCCAGTTCCAATTATCAAACGACGCCCTCCATTTTAGCTACGCCCACCTGTCAACATGCCATTTGACTTGTCCACAGCAAAGGTAAGTATAAAGAAAGTACAACGAATTAAAAACCAAACAAGTAATAATGCTAAAGCCGAGCTTGCTTGACTACGTAAGCCCCTGTACCAGCAATCAATATAATATTTTGGTTTTAAGTACCACGCTACAAATTCATTAAAACATATACTATAGGTCAACTCTATAATTCTTCTTCCCTAGTATTCAAAAAGTAATTTTCTGGCATGATTAAAGAACCAAAAAAGTCTAACAATTTCGAAAGGACATGCCTTCTTATACCTGTATCATACATGTGTACCAAATCATTATACTCCTTTTAAACATTTTCAATGGGTACAGGGTAAAAAAAAAAAATTATAAAAAAATGTGAGTCCAAGTTGAGCACATACATATGTGTATTAAAAATTCAATTTAAATGATAGCCCACTACATGAACGCGAGCCTGTCTAGTAGTTTATAATTAATATTTTTTAAATGAAAACGCATTACAATTTGTATTCATATTGTACTTTTTTCATGTAATTTAGCTAGTTATCCTCACTGAAACCCTCCCTTTTAACCATATTTTGCGGTTTAACGCTGCTGTCGTGTAGATTGTTAAAAATACAGTTGCCGACAAGACACCAAAAACCAGTAGTTTGTTTTGCATATAAAAACGTAGCATGGTTAACAAACGTCAGTAAGCATGCAAAAAGTCCGACACTCAAAATTTTTCTCAAAAGCATTTAATTTCTTTGTGGTAAGTTCAGTCTTGAGAAGATTCTTGAAAAATTGCAGATAATGAAAACAACAGCACGTCGAAGATTAAATTTCGAAGATTAAATTAAGGCATATGGCCAACAGGTTTGCAGATATGTGAGCGAAATTGTGTGGATATCTTGAAAAACAAACTTTTTCACTGCAATTTTTTTAAAGGTTTTTTTTAACGGTTTTATCCAATTGTTCCTGTGGCAGCTATTCCCGCCCGACTCCCGTCACAAAAAGAATTGAAGGGCTAGCTTGTACAGAACAGACAGATAGGCAGACAGTTAAACAGTAATCGATTCGGGTGTTGATACCACTCCTTCTGAATTACATACTTCGTGGTAAAACTATGAGACTCTCTAGAATAGTATAAAAGCGGATATAAAACAGAAAAGAGAGGCTATGCACAAAATTTGGGTTAAGCAATCACATATGTATGCCAGAGAATATTCCTGGTTATCAATCTCAGTGTCAACCAGCTGACAACACAAACCACAATACCCCAATGTATAGGAAAGCAAGAGCCATTGGATAGCGAGCACATGTTATTTGCAATACACAATATCATATCAATTATTTGTACATCAAGGGATGCTTAACAAATACTTTCAAGGTGCTACTTAAAAGAACCTTGAGAGTTATATACAGATATACAATAACAATTATGTATATTTGCATTGATATAATTACATTATGCATATGCAGTGTTTATACCCTAGCAGGGGATATTATAATTTGGTCATGAAATGTGTAACGGATAGAAGGAGACATCTCCGACCTTATAAATTATATATATTCTTAATCAGTATCAACAGCCGAGTGGATATAGCGAACTAGTCTCTCAGTTTAATAGCTATTGTCATGAAACTTTGCAGAAGTCCTTCTTTCTGTTGCACGCAGTACATATGTTCGAACCGATTGGATCGGACCACAATTTCATAAAGCTGACACAGGAACGATCAAACGAAAATAGGTTCTTGTATGAGAAACATTTTTGTTTATCAAGATATCTGACCAAACCTGGCATTTATATGTCTCAATATGCTCCCAACATTTATGCAAAATCGTATTTACATCGGACTACTATATCATATAGCTTCCATAGGAACGATACGTCTTAAATTAAGTTGTATGATCAACTTGTTTTCCCTGTGCTTCTTAGATACGGGCAAAGCACTATGATCATTATGAAGAGGTTGGGTCTGAAGGAGAGTTTAATTTTCGGCCTGCCGAAGAAGGCCCTTCTTTCTCGTTTCATTACATTAAACCCATTCAAAATGAGTTAACAGGCAGAAGAAGCCATCTCCGACCCAATAAAGTATATATATTTTTGCTCAGAACCACCAATCTGCCTCTCCGTCCGTTTCAAGGACTAGATCGTATCTTCTGCTGTTGGCCGTGCAGCACGAGTTAGTTTCAAATAATCAAAAGTATTAGTTCGCTCCATGGCTTCAAATCGTACGGCACGTGCTCAATTTATCAACGCCTTATTAACTACGCAACACAATAAACTATTGCAGATTTGTCAAAAAAAAAAAGAATATATTTAGAGGACAGTATGGTATTTTTTTAAAATTAAAATTTGTATATTTCCAGATCTGGTTTCCTGTTATTCGATGTTAGCAACTTTAATCAGAGTGACGAACAGTACTGTAAGTAAATCGAATCAAAAGAAACATTTAAATTATGATTGTTACCCTATATTTATTTCCTTTTCGGGTTTTTTAAGCAAATACTAAACTTCTTTATGAATATAACAAATCCAATAAACAGTTATAAGATTTGTATTTGCTTTAGCCATTTTCTCATGATGCAACGTTTGTAAAGCACAATTGTATGGATGTCTTATTTGTGATGATTCCTATACAAACTTCGACAGACATTTTGGCCCATTTGTGTTTTAGTGCTCACTTTTAATCCAAAAGGAAGCATCTGAAAAAATTTCATCTGAGTAGATCTTACGATTTTGGCTATACGTTGGTTACCGTTCATTCTGTTAGGACAATCCCTTCTATTCAAATGTATATAGATTAACAGGTTAGACAGTTCTAGTCGGAAGTGCCCGAATGGGCGATACCCTAACCACGCGCCAAGCTGCCATTGCGATCATACACACACACTTACCTTAGCCAAACACTAGCGAAAATGTTCTAGCTATTAACATCGGTTTTCCGTCGGATTTTTAATGAATATTTAGGGCTTTAATTTAGCACCCAAATGTCGAACTTTCTTACATATTGCCTTAGACTCGCATTTTACATCCAAGAAGGGTGGATTTTGCAAAAACTATGTGAAATACGTACCTAACGAATTTTCACAATGCTACTACACAAAAATGTTGCGTATAACCTTTTTCTGGCATCTTTCCACCAGTGGCGGCAAAATCTCTGAAAATGTATTGTTCATGTTCCTATGAAAGGCTTTAAAAATTAAATGCCGCCAATACTACCTTCGACCGGCATTTTGGGTTCGGAAGGGTAGAGTTTCTGAATAGTATGACACGACGAATTTTTATCTCAGCCCCGAAAAGTTTGACCCCCATTCCCAGGGATGGTTTGTCAAAAAGTCCAAAACACTGCTCAAATCAATTTGAAATCTGTTTCTATCTTTCGTGAGTGGGTGTCAACTTAGTGCACTGATCACCAATCAATCAGTGAGTAAGGATACACAGTTGTTTATATAGAAACTTGAGCCTACATACAAAGTGTCATGTAACTAGTTCATGTAATTTTGAGCTAGGCTTACAAGCCACATCTAAAAATCAATTTTTATCGATAATTGAGATTGGGTAGAGAGTTTGACTAAAACTATGTACAATTAACTTGTTTTACGTATGGCATACTAGAATATATATATAAAATTTCAAGTTTCTAGATTTGTAGTCCCCGCTATTGAAGGTTGAATATCCTTCTTTCTTTCTGATGCATACATATGCAAAAAAGAAACCAAAATACTGTGCCCGCTTCACTCATTTTCATTTGGCTCAGAACATTTTCTGATCGCCCGATCCTGGCTATTTTCGAATACCCATTTAAAATGTATTTGAAGAGTGTTTTACTTATTGCGTCAAAGTAACTCGCTGGGGGTAAATGGAGTTTTCCCAGTCGGCTAATCTACGCTATTCATCTATAAATGCACCAACACAATTTAACGATTCCGATGCTGATATTATGCCTAAAATATATAAAATTAAAAAAACGTTGAAAGCAAATGCATTTCGATAGTCAGCAAGATGGACTTGACACAAAACCAATATACCCCTTATACTTTTAAGAATAGAATATTATCAGTAATGAGAGTCATTTGTCTGAAGTCATTGAACTGGAATAATTCCACGTTAAAATACGCCTGATTGTGAAATCGACTCATACTCTCGATGTTATCCTTCAGCCCGCGGCGTTTTCTTGTGCATACTAATTGACACTGTTGTCATCTAGTTTCAAATTTTTAACACGCGTCGAGCGTCATTTGAGCGAAACAGGACCTCGTGTCGCTTGATAAGGGCAAGTAGCCTTCTCTAACTTAATTTTTCTTGCGTTTCTAAATAACGCATAACATATATATTTAAGTAACGGTGTTTTGGAGAAAGTTCGCTAGAAGATACTTTAACTTATAAAATGTACTGATGTGCAATGATTTGATGATCTGATGATTTGCGCCTTTCTAGCATTGAATTAAATCGACTCGACCTAAGAACATACAATTTTAAGGTTGTCGCATATGCCTTCGTCTGCATAAGTTATGCCTACATTTAAACAAAAGCAATATACCCTTCCTAGATATTTTTACCTTACAAACTATGAAAACATTAAAATTGCGAAGACTGGGTTAAGCAGAAGCAGAGTACAGCACAAGAAACCATACTTAGTCAGCTTAATAACTACTTGAATTTCATATATGTCATACCCAGTAAGGGTCCTTGTGGTGCCCAAGATTCGGTTCCACTTCATTTCAATAACATACTAAATTGTTCATACGTTCGACTTTGCGAGCTGTTTTTGTTATTGACTATACTGTGTAATTAGTTTTAATGATTTAATTAGAAAATAATTGGCGATTGGCTGTGAGCATTGCATATTTCAATTTTATTGTTTGATTCACGTTTCAATTGAACGTTGCATATGCTGCTGTCTTAAACGCTCCCAACGACCTCCGGCTGCTGTCGCTAAAAAGGGTTGAAGTTTAGCCGTTTTTTATTTTTTAACTTTGTAAGAGAAATGGGGTTTAGTTTTATAAACATATTGATGAGCATCAACTGTCTAGTCAATCTCATGATATCTTTCCGTATGTTGCGTCTATACGTCTGCCAGAGACCTACCAAGATCTCAAATTCGTAGATCTATCGTAGATTACAAATTAGCTCGAAGCTGAAAGAAGCTAACTTCGTTTATATAACCGATGGTCTTCATAACCTATGTGTATTTCGAATCTCTAAGTGCTAGAGTCGAAAACGACATTTGTCGATGTTATGAAAATGGGAAGAGATATATAATAATAAAATGATAAAATATATATATATATCTATCCCCCGCATAACTGTCTTGATTTGGCCCTTAATTACGATCCTTGAGGAGAGTCTAAATATTCTGGTGATAAAAGGGATAACGGGCTTTTTAGTAAAATAAAATAAATATACAAAACCTAGAGCCGATCTAACTAAAACATATTTCAAATTCAATTATAAAAACCAGAAGAAACTTTCTTTTTAACTGTTCAATATCATTCATTGATATTGTAATTAGTAAAGATAAAATTTACTAATTTTCCATCAAAGGCTCCTCATTAACAACAGGTTTCCAAGTAATTTAGGGAAAAATGTCATTTCTGGTATATAATAAAGTTGTTCGTATTTTTTTATAAACGAATGAATAATGTTATGTAGTGAATATGTATAGGATGTTATGCGAACCATGATGGAGTTGCTTCTGCTTGCTTCGGCCTTATATTTACATTTACACCATTTTTTACGATACAAAATATAATATTGACTTGGGCTGCATGCGAGAAGCTTTCATCAAATTATTGGATCTCCTGCTCTTCTACTTATTGAGCAGTGCTGAAGATTGGCAGCTGAACGCATCTAATAATACGGACACTTGATGTATACATCATATCCTTCTATCGTTACATATACACATAAATGAAGTATTTAAAATGCGTACGTATTTTAAATTAGTACAGGGTATGAAAACGGAATGGAATTTAAGAGTAAAGGAATAACTTAAAAATGCGTTGAATGCGACGAAATAAATCACTGCCATAAATTAGTTGGCTTTTAATTACGATTATTATGCTGATAATAGACCGCATTTAACGCGCGATAAACATAAATAATCGTGTCAAATGCAAACAGATGTGAAAATCCCAACAAGAAACAAGCGAGACAACTCAGCGACAAACGACACCATTGCCAACAACAACAACAACAACAACAGCAGATCACGCGCACTCATTCAGCAGCAGATTCGAAGCTGAGGATGAAATTTTTGGTACTGCTTAATGAAAACAATGTGTGAACAAGGAGGCCGTACCCGCAGAGCCAGAGACGAACAGCCATTAAGGAATTTTTGAAGTGCCAGCGGCACCCCTGTCACTTTTCCAACCGAATATCGTGTTGACACTTAACAGCAGCTGGTATGCAGCGTACTTCTCAGCTTCCAATTGCAATTGGCTTCAAGCCAAAACTCCCACTCCCCTTATTAGCGGCGCCTAACGCTACTCAAATAAAATGTGAAAATCATATTTATGCATATATTATGTGTACATGTATTTGCTATGTACTAAGTATTTGTATCTGAGCTGACATTGGCTTGAGGCTTATAAGGTCAGCTATAAATGAGTAATATGATTTTTTTTTCACATATATCGTATAGTGTTAAATATACAATACGTTTTTTTGAGAACGAAGTTAGCTTAGGTGATGTTTCGTCAATCTAGTTGGGGCCCTTTGGCGTAATATAGTATTTACCTTTCAAGCATATGGTTTTAATTTTAAGCGACGCTGATGCGCCCATTTATCATCTGCAATGTCCAGTGCCATTAACGAGGACTGTGCGTCAGTGGGTGGATGTGCATGTGGGTGTGTGTATGAGTATGAGTACGGTAAGCCGATGCCAAACGCATGCCTGCTAGGGTTCTGTGTTTGGTGTTTTTGTGTACTACTATTATTTTTATTTACAACTTTCGTGACGTTCTTTTGAAATTGGACTATACAAATGGGGCGCAACACAGCAGGAGCAGGTCATGTCTGCGTTAGGAGTACCCTTTATCCTTCTTCAGGCTAAGCGCAAATCCACTCACTGCGTAAGGTCTGAGCAAACTTGTGAAACAAGAGATTGACTCCAGTTCAAAGTATCTTTACATTATAAAGTACTACTATACCATTGTAGAGTGGTATGTAATATTTGTCATTTCATGTGCAACGGACATTACCAACTCCATAAAATATATATATATATATATATATTCTTGATTAGTACCAACAGCCGCCTATCTCAAAATTTGTTAAAAAACAGGATTTCGACTTGGATTTTTGTCGATTACTTGAAAACGGGGAAGGGTATCGATTAACTGAAGAAACTTCGTACGGCACGCTTACTAGAAGGACCTACGTCAAAATTTCAAATTTCTCTAGTTATTATAGATTCTGATATGCTCATACATACGAACAAAAATATATACACTATATGGGGTCGGAGATGCTTCCTTCTGTTTGTTACATATATTTTCACAAAAACATTATACTCTTTTAACCCACGTTATAAAAAGATATTTACCTGAAGTGGGGGGAAGAAGAACATGTGTGGGTGGGATATATGTAAAGGGACTATTTGTCTTAGATGTATGTTCCGATTCCTATTAATTATAATGGATAAACAAGTTTCTTGTAGTTTCACAATATTAACATTCATTATCTGCATAGTTAACTTTGTGATCTTTTCCTGATCAGCATCAATAGCCGAGTCTATCTAGCCATGCCCGTCTGTCTGTCAGTTGAAACCTATACAATTTCTTTTATACAAATTTATTTTTATTACTTCTAAAGCAAACTAATTCGTAGTGCAAGCTGCATATTTCGGGAACTCCCGTCTAGAGCCTCTTACTTGTTTTCTCCTATTCTTTATTATTTGTTCCACACGAAATATTGTTCTTCATCGATGTTGTATATCGTCAGCACAAAAATGACCGCCAAAGTAAAATCAAATATGACTCGGCCCAGCTAAAAAATTCGCAGCTGTTTTTTATATAAGTAGTTTTAAATTCTGTGCCCTTTTTGCTTCAAGTGGTGTAGACTTTAAAGCCACAAGCCATCAACCCATCTGCAAGAAAACGAGACATTAAGCATATCTTTGGCAAGCCGAAAATATAATACCCTATAACCTATACCCTGTAGACATTTCCGTTTTACAGACGTATGAGATATTTACAGAGTTTCAAGACGGTAGCTTGAAAACTCGGACTGGCTTGTTATAAAAAAAACGGACGGTCATGGATATGTCAACACGGCAATTAATTCAGCGTATTTATATGAATATGTGAACGAAAATTTATATGCAAATATTTACAAATATATGCAAGTACTTATTATTTTGGTACAGGCATTTGTTCTTAAACTTTTTAACATATTTGGAATCACACTATCGAATGTAGAACGCCTACAAAGAGTCGTCTATGATCAAATAGATTTCAAATATTGTTTTTCAGTATCAACAGCAGAGTGATATACCATAGTCATAGGTCTGTGTCAATTCCAAGTTCTCTCACGCTTGCAGGCATGGTCGTTTGCATTTTGCAGCAGGCAGCTTTAATGTCTGAGTCGGCTGAATCGGAATACTAGAGCATTCTAGTGACATAGGAAGAATCGGTTGACAATTAAAAAATGTTGTATAAACACACTCCTGAGACATATGTATGTCTTCAAGCATATAAAATCTACGGCTGTTCCAAAAAATCAGTTCATTCTTGTTACTTACTATTATTGTGTTTACGGTCAGACATTTTCAATTCATTTATCACCAGCACCCCAGTCCCAGATCGACCCCCCATCGACAATGTCAACACAAATGCCAACCGAAAAAATAAATGCGCAGCTTAATCTACTCATAAGAAAAGGAGGAAAAATCAAAAACAATCTGCACATACTTCAATTTCAATCTACTCCTTCCATTTATTTTGCGTCGCTCCCACTCATTCCCATTCCGCTTGGGCAGACGTCGACCCCATGCAACAAATCCACGGTAATAAAATTTAAATCACCCAAATAGCAGCAGGGCCCAGTAAGTAAGTAACTGGCGTAACCAAAGCAAATAGAATAAACCGTAAAGCGTTTTTCTACCCATCGCCTTTTTCTACGTTTAAGTCGTTAGCGGCAAGGTTGGCAGGGCCGCCCCGATGACGCCCACAACGCAGCATTCCGACCGTCAAATGTTAAATAAACTGTCAGCCCACCCTGCACAAAGCACCAAACACCAACAGCCCCACCGCCACACAAACTAATAGAGGCAGGGTCAGAAGTGTGCTTCTCAGCATCCCCCGTATTGTGGTCTCGACCAGCAAACACCCTTACAGTCCACAGACGCACAGATACAAATATACATATACAATTTACGTTATCCGACTGTCGTTGTCAAATTGATATTCATTGAGCTCAAAACAACATTAGACTGGCTCTTCAATTTACCAAAATTTGACTATACAACAACGAAAATATGTTCATAACTGAAAGTTTTGATACATTTATTTTTAATAAAATTTAGATTTTGTTTAATTTATATTATATGATTAATTTACATTTGTTGTTTGTCGACAAAAAAAAAGTAGGCTAATATATATAACATATATATATATGTATATATACATATAATATATTTGTTAAATGTATATATATGTTCACATACATAAGCTTATACATATACATATACATATACATATACATATACATATACATATACATATACATATACATATACATATACATATACATATACATATACATATACATATACATATACATATACATATACATATACATATACATATACATATACATATACATACATATACATATACATATACATATACATATACATATACATATACATATACATATACATATACATATACATATACATATACATATACATATACATATACATATACATATACATATACATATACATATACATATACATATACATATACATATACATATACATATACATATACATATACATATACATATACATATACATATGCTACTGCTTAAACCTAGTCAAGCCCTATATGTTTTCTCAATCTGCTTCCTGTAAGCATTGCATACACATATTAAATGTAGATCTTATATTAAATTAAGAAACAACAAAAACATCTAGTTGCAAAGTGTAATGCGCCTGCATCTTAAAAATATTACGCATATGTATTAAGTAGCAAAAATAAAACATGCAAGTTGATTTAGTTAACAATATGGCGCTAAGTGTCCGCCGTTATCAAGAAATACGCTGAACGGCAGCGGAAGTATAACGCTCTATGTAGCTCTCTTGAGCTCCGTTTAACAATAGAGTCAGATGTTATGCTGTGGTCGCCTCTATAGTGTTGTCATCTCCCAGCCTGCCTCGCTTGTGTCTGTACTTAGATTTTTCTCATGTGATTTATATATAGAGTTCAATCGTTTTTTTCTGTTTTGAAGCAAATCATTTCTTTTGATTTACAATTTTGGTTTATCATCCTTAGTTTTTAGAAAAAATCTTTCATTTTTTCATAATTGGACTAGAAATATTATTTTAATAATATAGGCTTATACTATTTTTTGAATTGCTCACATAATGTTCAACAAATAATAATAAAATTGTTTACCATAAATTGAAATCCGTTTTATTATTAAATCAAAAAGTTTAGCTTTTTAAATATTTAATTTATCTTTTCTCTTTGAAGTGTCTTTGAATTATTTAGCCAAATATGCGTGTATAACTTAAATAAACGCTGCAAATAGATCCACCTTTGTTATATTGTTTTTTTATCTACGAGCTAAAAAAAAAAATGTTTACTTTAAGCTAAATTAAAAAAAAAAATTGTAGCATACCTTATAGTAATAGCAATGATTTTATGGTTGTATATTTGAGGATCTTGATATTTATGAAACTATATTCGTATAGACATCTAGAAATATATTAAATACATATATACAATAGGATTCAAGCGTGAATTTAATATTTTATTTTTTTTATTCATTTTGATAGTTTAATAAGCTTGCAATTGATTACTATTAAGTAATTGTTGTTTATTAAGAAAGCGAAAAATTGTATTTAGCATTTCTTAGTACTTTTATGTACACATATTTCTTCAAACATGTAAAAAAAAATTGCTTAGCTATAATCGAATTTCTAAAAACATAACGCATACGACGTTATGCATTACAAAAAAAAAAAAAAAAAAAAAAAAATCCGAATTTCACGGAATACTTTGTTAAATGTTATTAATGTATCGTTTGTGTGCAGCCACTCCTACTAACTATGATTCTGCCCAATGCTGCCCGCAAGGCAGCTTCATTTTAAACTGCGTCCAGGAACCCATTTCTGCTCAATTGGTAAACAAAAAGGGTCCCAGCGACCCTCAAACCATCGGTGGCTTAATGTCGACTAAAGCGCTATGATCCAGTCGATGATCCAGACCAGGACTAGGTGCTGATGCACCTACCAGATGATGATGATGATGTAGGTGCGCATGTGGATGCGATTGCTGCTGCGAGAACTGTTGTTGCTGCTGCTGTTGCTGATGCGCTGACTGATGCGAGTGCTGCTGGTGCTGTTGCTGCTGATGTTGATGCAGCATCACCGGCGAGCCGCCCGCGGCGACCATCTGGTGCGGCGTGGCCAGGTGCAGACCGCCGCCCAGCAGACTGCTGGACGTGCTGGAGGCGCTATGCGCATGCAGCGAGGTTGGGGTGCCGGGATGGCTACCAGCTCTGTTGCCTGCACCGGAGCCAGCGCTGCCGGTGCCGGAGCTGGAGCTGGCGGAGCCACCCCCGCCGCCACCACCTGCGCCCGTCTGTTGGCCACTGGACGCGCCGCCCAACCCGTTCGACTCACCCGACTGATTGGCTGCCTCCTCAGAGTCGCTGCACGACTCCGAGGAGCCCTTTTTAATGCCATTGGGGACTGTGCCGTTATGCGTCTTTACGTGCTTTGCCAGATGGTCGCTGCGCATAAAACGCTTGTTGCACACTGGGCAAGCAAAGCGCTTCTCGCCAGTATGCGTCCTCAAATGCCGCTGCAGCTCGTCGGAGCGTGTGAAACGCTTGCCGCAGAACAGCCAGTTGCACACAAAGGGACGCTCGCCGGTGTGCCATCGCAAATGTGCCTTCAGATGAGACGTTTTGCCGTAAACTTTGCCGCAACCAGGTATATGGCAGGAGTGGATGTTCTTCTTACGTAGATGCACGCCAGCTGGTCCTAGGCGCTCCGCCTCTTGACAGTTTGGGCAATCGCAAGTTGCACGTCCCGCATATCGGCGCTGTGAACGCGGCGAAGGTGTTGATGGGGTTGAAGCTTGTGGCGAAGCCGCAGTGGCTGCCGCTGAAGGTGAGCTGTGTGGTAGCGAAAAGCCACCTACGCCCTGGCCTGGCAGCATACTTTTATATGTATCCTGCAGTAAGTGCTGTCCGGATCCCAATAAATGTGCCGTATTCGAAAGTGAATGCGACAATGCAGAACTGTAATCTGTACCCGCAGCCGCAGCGCTTGCATAGTTTGCCATTGTCGAGTGCATGCCAGCGGCCGCAGCGCTTCCCATATCCAGCCAGCTACCGGCGGCGGCAGCGCTGTGCATATCCCACCAACCCGAGTTGACACTAGCTGCCTCAGCGGCCTTGTGCGCGGATGCGGTCACTGCATTGAACGGCCAATCATACGGGTGGCGCGAGTAGACTGAACCGAAGGCGGCTCCCTCAACTTTGCCCAAAAGCCCCTGATGCATGTGATGATTGTCCGCCACCATGCTGCCTGACGATGTGGATGTGTTCGGAAAGTACAAATCACTGCCGTATGCGGAGGCCGAGGTGCCCACGGCCGCGCAAGACGAGGCGAGCGGACGACTGTAAGGATATATGCTGAAATTACTCACAAGTTGTATAAAGCGTGCTGTTGTCTGGGCAACGCACAGTGATCCACCAATTATGAGAAAACTAGCTGAACAAGTACACGAGTTGACATGTGAATATCTGTACACATTTATTTCAACTGAAAATATGCGTTGCGTTGCATTTTGAATTTCCCTTATTTACTCACGATATGAAGTTTTCGCTCTTACACTCTTCGAATTGTTTTTCACTATTCAATTTCTACTTAAAAAGGAATACAAATTTGAACACTTTTCTTATTTTCATAGTTTAAGATTTTGAACAGACGGCCAATGAAATTTAAGTATCAAATTATCTATTTCAAATTGCTGTTTACTCAAAATGAGTTTGAAAACGTAAATTTAAATAAATATCTTATTTAAATGATCAAGTTTTGGATTAAGAAAAGAATTTTATAAGTAGTGATTTTAACAAAATGTATAGCACTCTGAATTATCTCTTACTCCCAATGCTTTCGTATAATTTGTTCAGCCAGATTCTTAAATATAGGACCACTGTGCGCCGTCGCGCTGCTTACCTAGCAGTAATGTTCACCATGGTGCTGCTGTTAGCACTGGACGAGAGGCTGCGTGATGTTTGGCCTCCGCCACCTCCGCCTCCACTTCCACTGCCAGTGGAGCTAGACGAGCTTGCTGCTGAGATTGCGCATGGGGAGTGCTGTCCGACACTGCTGCTGCCGCTAAGGCTTGATGCGCCGCCACCGGGTGCGCCAGTGCTGCCTGCTGCAGGGGAATGTGGGCTCTTCTTCCAGGGATGGAACCCCTTACCAACGGCGGCATCAGCTAGCGGCGGTGGTGATTTGTTCGACAGCTTATTGCACTGGGCGGCCAGCATGGCTAGCGGAGTACCTCTTAAGCTGGGATGATCCTAAAAGGAGCATGAAAAAAGGGAACTTTTCTCAATTAATAAGCGCGTCATTCGAGCGAATCTGAAAATTATTAAAATTTTAATTAATTATGCTCAATATACCGTTAACAACGAATCAACGATTCGACGCCAACCCACAAAATTAATGCACAACGTAAATCAAAAGATAATTCGTTGAACGTTAAATGCTCCAAATATTTATGATCTGCGCGGCTTAATAGCATTTCGGAAATGAGGTTCCCTAAAAATATCAGAACGTTTTGAATTTGTAAGTCGTCAGAAACTATTTAAATCTTACTTTTTTCGGGAGTTTTTTAAGGCTTTTTATAAAATAAATCAAATCTTTTAATCCTAAAGTACCATATATCGCATCAAGAATTTTTCTGTGAGCATCTCAACTTTGACTACTTTACTTCCGAGTTATTCCCATTTTGATATACCGACAACAAAACGAGGACAACGCAACAATAGCATAACATTTATGACCTTTCACGGTCAGTGCTTTGTTCTTTTGGCCAGAACTAATTCTTTATTTCGCCTTTGTCTAGCGGTTCAGCAACATTGTCTGACACTTGTGCACTATCTGTCTTACACTCTCAATTAGTGTCTGCAACTCGCTCTATCTGTATATGTAGCTGAAATTGGAGAGTGATTGACGACGGTCAAGGATTAACTTCTGCTCCGACTCTACCTGCCCCATCTGACGGCCGCTGCGGCTTATCCTTTCGATGATCCTCATCAAACACATTTTGCCAGGCAGCTCAGCATCTGTTTGATGGATCCAAAATTGTCAACGACTGTACTACTGCCCGATTTCGGGCTGGTAAAGATCACTTTTATCCACCCAGTAGTCAAGTGGCTACCTTCTTGTCTGATTAATAAAGTTTGTATTCTTTGTACAAAGGTTTACAGTTGGATTATACCGTTGCTTTGCGGCCAATTTAACAGGTAAAATTAGCTATAGGAAAAGAAACAGCTAACTTTGGCAGCCAGCAATCAGGCGCAGATTGAGGCTGCGGAAGCTGCTATTAGTTTAATAATTGCTGGGGTCGGCTTACTACCCACAAAGACAGCTTTCGGGTTCATAGCCAAGTCCAAATCAATAGCCAAGTTGTTTCCGCATTACTGTTGGCTGAGATTTAGATTTGCGCAGATTGGGCGGATAGCATAGTAACTGGTAGCCGGGTCGAAACTTGTTGTGCTACGTTTGTCGCTGCTATGTTATCGTAGTGCAATGTGTCAGAGAGGTGCCACTGGCCCGCTGGCTGTATAATGATATTGGGGCCAGTGCAGTCAGCAACCAGTCAGAGTACATACACATGGAATGTAAAAAGGATGAGCTATACAACAGGCAGAGCAACTATGGCCACCGAAATACTTTGGCCCCAGATTCGATGCCAAGACAGAGCCAAAGCCGAACCGGCACCAGAGCAACATAATTGGAGCAATTTCAACGTCGTGCAACTGCGCACATGACTCCATGTTAGTGTGTTTGAGTATGTGGCAAGAAAATTATACAAAATAATATCGGTGCAAGCAGTAAGCCAGTAAGTCAGTTAGTTAGTTAATCAGTTAGGCAGTCAATCAAGTCTTTGCCCATTTAAATGCTAGATTATTTGATTCATCGATTAGCACGCCAAAAAAAAAATTATGTTTTAGCCGAGTGTACCTGACTGCAAGATACCCTATACACAGCAAACATGCGTAGAACTGTGCAGTCGATTAAAACCGACTAAGCAATACTCTGTCGTGATCAATCAGATTGATCTTGAGTGTTTAACATAATCAGGGATATGGGGACGCCTGCCTGTAACATACAAAGACTCTTCAATAATTTAATATAATAATATCTGTACATATAATAATAATAAGAAATCATAAAATGTATCGCATGAATGAATGCATAGTACCCATTTTAAGCCTCGCTCCTATTATTTTCACCTTCCAATGTGTGTTTCTTAAAAAAAAAATGTCTTAACATTTTTTTTGTAGAATTAGTGCGCCATAGGGGCGTTATTGGCGCCAAGGTTTCGTTTTAAAGCCATTCAATATGACCAAATTAGCGCACCGAGCACCGAGCCACTTCAATGCCCAATGGTTTGGTTATGGACAGGGATGGGGATGCTTATGTGCGTGTGGTTGTAGAGGAACAGGTCTAAGCCGATCGGAGCCGTACTTAACTGGTCGAAATTGAAAGGGGACGGGCTAAACACAAAAAGTATAATAAACTGTTTTCAAACTATATATTGTTCGCTCCCACTCAGTTACTTATGGATCGCTACTTAGTTCATCCGCCACCTCTCTGACTGCGTTGCCTGCTGCGACATCAAAGAGTAGCGCGTCTGCCCACAACGAATTTCGATTTTTTTTTTTTCATCTTTTTATTTTTACTACCGCTGCATTTTGATGCGCTTGTTGCTCTGCAGTTGGTCCAAGTGCTCTTTCTCCCTTGCTCTTTCTCTGCCACTCGCACTGGTGTAAATCATTAGCAGCGACACCTGCTGTGAAAATTATGACACCGCACAAAAGGTGCTGAACCTGCAGCGCCGTCGTTGATAGCGCCTGCTGTGATCAGGTTCCAGTTGCCAGATTTTCAGATCCGCCACATGCTGGGCTACCCAAATTTGTTTAGCTCGCGTCTTTTGTTGTTTGCCTTTGACGTTCCGTTCGGGAGCCCTAGCGGCAAAATGACATTTAACTATTCTAATTGCCTAAATGCCAATATTTTATTTGATGCACCGATATGAGTAGACCGCAGTGACCGCACTTGCCCTCTACAATAAGCTGCATCTTGGAATAAAAGAATGCCAGTAATTGTGCTCAGTTGCCTGATTGCAATCATAAATGATCTCTATCAACAACAATATCAAACATAATACATTAGATTTGAATCAATATTGTGTGGGGAACCACGTACCAAAATATTTGTGGCTTGTCATCCAATTTATATATTATTCACAAAGGGAACAAAACCTGACTTTAGATGTATTCACACTGTAAACTGTGTATTGTTGTATCCCTTGCACAATTCTGTAAAAACTTAAACTAGAGACATAACATTAAAGAGTTAAGAAAGCACTAGGCGAAAGTTATAAATCGCCCAAATACTAATACGTGTTCACAATTATATACAGACTACAAGGTCTGTACTCCGGGAAATAATTGAGGTGCTTCATTGTTCTGACTTACAATATCAGGGAAAGGTTATAAAGATAGATTATTATAAAATTGAAGGATCTCAAAGATTGCAATTCATTTCATGTAGTTATAATCAGACAATATTTCCACTGCATCATCTTTAACAGGGCTACTCACACTTTACACGAAATTAGAGGTTGTACTTTTTAGTGTGTATAGTATCTATACAGTATAAAAAATAGTATATATACATATCGGTACTTAGACATACTAGTTCTAGTTGCAATTAAAAAATGCATTTGGCCCTTTAAGAGTCCCTTAATTCCGTATAGTATAGTGTAGCAAACGCCACTCATATCTAATCGACGGAGGCCGTAAATTGTCTAAATAAAATAACAAACAATTAAACTTCAATTTGTGGCGAAACGCAGGCTAAAAAATATAGTCAGAGAACCGACAAGCGTTTGGCTACTCAAATACGCGACTCACCAAACGGATGAGCCTTAACTGGTGTGCTCTGGGGAACGCGAACTATGGTCTGCAGACAGGGGTTGGCTGCCGAGGTTCATAGGCAATTAAAAAGTTCATTGGTTTTATTCATCACTATAGGCTGGATGGCTTACCTTGCCTCGGCGTGGTTTAACTTCGCTTGGTTTGCCTGTTAACCAGAAGCACAAACATTGCTATCCTCTAGCCGCGGGTTATTTTGTGAAGGACGCGACAGGCTCTTTTCGAACCTTTGCCATTAGCATGTAAAGTGTAAACTAATGGCTTTAATTTTGTTTGACTGGACAGCAGCGTGGGAAAAGCTTGGTAACTGTTGAGATTGGCGCAGCAATGGAGATGGAGATCCAGAACATCGAAGTGGTTCACCGCTTAACTTCGATCTAAGAAGTTTATTAAAAAGAATCGCACAGAAGTTCGCAGGCCCACAGTGTACCCATACGGTGAACTTGAATCTGGCAAATATTAAGTAGCCTGAGTGGCAGGGCTTTTAGTTTTCGTTACCAACTTTGTCTGAGAGCCTCAGCGTGGTCCTAAGTTCCTTGGAACTGGTCCAGGCATGGACGCTCTTATAAGTAAGCCATACGCAAAAACTCATTAACAATGATGCAGCCACCGCAAACGGGCCTTAAAAATAAGAATAACAGCAAGAACAACAACAACAACAACAACAACAACAGCAACAAAGCCAACAAAAATTAATGGAGTTTCATCATAATTTTTTTCATTTTTTTTTTTTTTTTGTTTTATCTCCCAGCCAAAAACGACCCATTTTGTTGTTGATGTTGCTTTTTTATTATTTATTATTTTTGCGAAATCTTAAAATACGAAGCCGTCTTGAGTTAGTCTGGGGCAAAGATAATTACGGCTATGGCTTGGGCTCAATACTCGCCATACATCTTTGTATATATATATATATATATATATAGATACATACATATATATATATATATATATATATATATATGTATAGGCCTGGCCACCGTGTTAAAGCCATAACCCAATTTGATGAAGTGCATTAAAGTGTCTTGACTTTGCGGCAACAGCCTAAGCCCTAACTTGAACCCGATCCTTATCAAACCCAAAACCAACCAGTGCAATATATGCTTTTTATTTACAAGATGCTTTAATTTTATGTTTATCCTCCACCCAAGTTGCCCACTTTACTGTTCATTAGGCAGACAGCTTGCCTTCTTCAGGCGCAGTCACTCTGCCTATTTGGAGGAGCAAGCAGCACATCGTCAGTTTGTTGTAAGCCGATTTTAGTTGTAAAGCTTACTGTGCGGCCTTATTGGGCCACGTATGTCCTCTAGGCTCACATATCATTGTCTAAAATGTCATGATTAACTGACCGCTCATTAGAACCACAAGAATTTTTTTGTGGGTTATAGCACCCCTTTGCTTTCTTTTCCCCCATATACAGCTTATACCAACCCCCAATGAGGTCAAATTTAATGTGTCTCATATTGCAATTAATTTGAACTGTAACTCTGGCTGTCACTAGTGTGAAGTGGGTGGCTGATTGCGGGCTAGGACATGGTTGGTGATTGAGTGCTGTCTGCAAGTAATTGGGGTTGATTTTACTTTTCAATTATGTATCAAGTATAATACTCTGCAGACACAAAGGCGTGAGTGGACTACAGCACAGTAAAAAGACAATATTACTGAAGAATTATGCTGCACGCTTTGATTTCTTTATCAAATTGTGCTTACTCTTTCCATAACTAAAAGTAAGAGAAATGATGCGATGTGAATAAGCAACTACGAACTCGGCTACAAATTATCGTAGCGTACAGTCGTACTTAGGAATTTTTACACCCACACTCAAAAACGCCTTACGAACCGGGTTTTCCGCTTTCTATGCCTTAATATACTCTAAAATTTAAAAGTAAATCTATCAAAATATGGTTGTTAAAAAACCTTCATTCTGTGTTCTAGATCTTATAGTCCCTGACATGGATATCTTCATATAGATGGACGCATCGACTCGTTTCTTTATGCCTTTCGACTATATATATTGGGTAAGTAACTCCATCTATATCGTATTACATATATTCGCAATACTCCAGCATGCACCTTTTCTACCAATTTTGAATGGGTAGTAGGTTAGTTACATTCATTCGCTACATTCTTAGTCAATGTTTTGCCCAGAAAATGACGTGTCATAACTACCTTACACTTTAGGCCTGCTTAAAAGTCATTATCATTGGATGTCCATCAAATTCAACAACTAGAGCTATAGCCACAGCCCAGACGAAAACAAATTCATCGCTTCATTAGGAAGCAATAAAAACGGCAATCTGCCAAATTGGCCCGATCGTCATTGAACAATATATCAAACGTATTGAGTTGGGCACTTTGTTATTTGCTTTTGGGGTTTCAAGCGCCAATTGCTGGAAGGTTCGACATTGAAATCCGTAGGGGTTAACTGTCAACAACAAAACTTGACTACCATGAATGATAACTATAAAGTGTAAATAAAAATGCCTATTAAAAAGCTTATAACACTACGCCGCACAACTCACGGCCTCAAAACGAAATGGATTTTAATTATTTTTCAAAAATTTGTTTTCTGGATTGAGTGAATATTTACACTATAACAATAAATATTGCAAATAAAAAATTTACAAGGAGCATAGTGAAACTAATAAATGCCCAGTTTAAAAGCAGACTTCTCGGCTGATAATGCTTCTCTTATGTATACTTTTTGGGTTCGGAGATGACTCCTTCTATTCATTCCATGTTTCATGCCATAATAAACTGACCCTTTTTAATGCGCCTTTTTTTATTTTCTTGTGGCTTAAGTAAATTTATCTCCGGCCAAAGAAAATGATATGATATACGATTGCATTATTTTTAATAAGAATATTATTGAAAGCTAGCCAGTAATATACACATACCTACTTCTCATGATTACCTGCGGCGCTTTAACACCTTTAAATTATGATATAGTTCAGATCTTATCAGTCAGCATTTACTGATAATCAACCGATCACTCTAAGCAACGAGGTCCACAAAACGAGGTCCAAAGCTGTACCATCATCGATATAAATGAAGCTCTCAGCATGGCAAGCTACAAACTCTCCACATTTGACCATGTTTATCCATGCGCAAATTGGCGTCTTTATCGGCGCATGCTGAACAACTTAACCTTTTTGAAACTTTTAAAATGAAAGCTTAATTTTACCAAATATTTACACAAACAGATAAAATCTTTTTCTCATTTATAGTATGAACAAATTTATACGTCGCCGCAAGCTGTCGATGCTCATGTCGATGGTCAGGCAATCATGATCATTATTACGACTGGTTCTTTATCTAAAATTGAGAGGGGGACAGAGGCTGACACTTGTACTGTAGCCTCTTGGGTACAAGCACCGAGCTGCCAGAGCTGCTTTCTTAGACAACTCAACAAGTTAGTCAAGTCAAGTTAACTCGAGACGCTCAATAGTCAGTCAAGGCAGCTTTAGCTAGTCCGCGTACATATAAGCGTATATACTTTAGTATGAATGTGGAGGCGACTTCAGTTGTGTGTCTCTATTACCATACTGATTGAAGGTTGATTAAAGGCAAGCTGATATTGATATTTATGGCGCACCAATATATTGTTTTTAACTTGTGTGAATGTGGGGGAAACTCCATGACACCAACCGATAGGTTAATGCAGTCTATATACTAGTGTACTTTTAGTTGCTTCTACTCATATTTGTATATATCATATACATATATGACAAAGTACAGTAGGAATAAGCTGCTGAAATGCTAGGCAACTTATATACAGAAATTCGAAACAAAAAATATATCGAAAAGTACCATTATCATGGCTTAATATGTTGCACTCTTAGGCCATTAAAAATGGGTAAAAATTGTGCAATAATCTTGTGCAAATTACGAGTTAAATTGAACATACGCAAAAAAAAAAGATCTTTCCCCTTATTTTCAAAATATCAGCTTATTATCGATTTAAGTAAATCGATCGATTTAAGTAAAGTACTTTTGGGCGCAATGCGTTGAAGATAAGATTTCGAGACAACCAATTAGGTGTCTAAGATCTTGTATAGAATTACCAGATTAGGAATATTTCAGTTTTTTTTAACCCATCCCGTATATCTAATCTCCCATTCGCACACTCCTGACTGGAGCACTCTGAGCTGGTCAACGCACAGCCCAATCGGTAGGAGCTAGGGCGTTCATTTTCCAAGGGGATTTTGGGAAATTCCAACCACAAGTTTGGAAAAATCCCGAATTACGCTCGTATGAAACTTTATGTTTACCACCCGAAAGGCCTCAAACTCATTTTGAAGGCTTGTTATTGAAACACTTTATTGTTATGGAAACACTTTATACCCGATAAGAACCAATTTAAGTCTTGAAATGCTAAAATATAAATTTGGGCTCAGTATTAGTGCATGATATTTGTAGCTTACATGTACATAATACAATTTATAATAAATAAAAAAATCCATAATTTCCAATACATTCGAGGTTTCCAGCTTGTTGTGTAAACTGTACATGTTGAGAAATTGAAATTTAGCTGGCTGCACACTCGGCTCAATGACGTAAACCATTCAATTGACGTAGTAGGAGAATAAGGTCAAAGTACACCGATGCTAACGCCGACCATCAAACGAAGAATAAAACGAAGCAGGAGGTAACTGCCAAATGGCAGCGCATTTGATGGATGACATGGGACGACGAGTCGGGCATTGGGATTGCACAGGGATTGCCTGTGCCTGTGAAGCTGTGGGCATGCAGTTTAGCTAAGTTCCTAGCCTACCCTATGTTGGGTCACCTCAGCCAAATGTGCAATTTTGTAGCAAATTAGCAACTACCCAAACACACGCATAAGAACACAAATACACAAATGGAGAGCCCTTTTGTTGAATAAAAAGTGCCGTTGTGATTATCACCGCAGGATACCTATCAGGTAGATGGAGAATAAGAGTGAGCAAGGGAAGCAGAGGAGAGAGAGAGAGAGAGAGAGAGAGAGAGAGAGATAGTTAAGTGTTATACTGAGAGAGAAAGATATAAGTGTGGATGGATAACATTAGAAGAGGAGGGGAAAAATGAGATCAGCTAACCACCATATAATCCTGTGTTAAGATCATCCGCTTTAAGAACAAATCGCATAATCCTTTAATGCGCCAGCGACACAGCGGCTGTTAAATAAACATAGCATTGTTCCAGAAGATTGGACAAAACGTTGCTCTAAATCTGATGCCTAATGAGTAATTTCGATCAAGTACCATATTCTAGAAACCCTTTAGGATCATACACAACAAACACTATCCTCAGCCACTTGAGACGACAACAATAACTGGCACACTCTTAAATAAACAAATTGCCACTTGCTTTCGACACTATGGTAAAGTTGGGTGAACCTAAAACAACATCATAGACAGTAGAAACAGCTACACCTACCATTCGTATGCCAAATTCGTGTCTGCATTTCCAGCAAATTGGGAATTGTAGGCAAGCCGAAAATCGTTAACGGCTTTTCACTTTAATCCTCACTGGCCAGGCGCAGACGCACTTAAAAGCTAGTTTCCTGACACGCCCCCTATATCATACATTGGAATTGACGAAGTGACTGGAGTAGCTTAAATCGGCGTCCCCTATGCAGTTGGTTCCCGTTATCATTGAAGCCACGCAAAAGTGTTCTAATTGTAAAACTTTGGCCATACAACCAGCCGGCGATTTTCTTGTTATTGCAGCTACATTTGCCGTTGCCGTTTGTGTGGCAGTCTACACCGCGTGTTTGCGGTAATTGCAAATTGCTATGGTAAGCCGCGTCAACCCCTCAAACGCCAGCAAAGGAAAAATTTCCAACCATCCCAGATCCGGTTTTAGGTATAGCTCGGCTTTTAGTCGACGGTGGCTTTAAATTAAAAGTGACAAGTATTTACTAAGTGCCAGGCCTAACGTCGCTGGCAACAATATGCATTTCAAAAATTTATATCTTGCATGTATATATGTATATGTATGAGTATATATTAAGGCAAGAAATTCAAGAAAGAATGAAGAAGTCTGGATTCATTTTCCCCTATACCCGACGCAAAACTGTCGTAAGATAGATTCCAAATTCCATTTGAATTTCAGATTTTTATAAAGCTCTCCAGGCTACAGATATGCTAAGTTTGGCTCTGCTGTTGATGGTAACTAAAAGTGTATGCTATGTTAATGTCTTAGGTTGCCCAATTTATTTATTTACCATAGGGTATATAAATGTTTTCACTTATCGGCCTCAGAAGTCAACTCTATTGCGCTTTCAATAATATTTTTCATAAATCTAATTGATAATAATAGACCTGTAATAAAATCATGTCGCTTCCAAATTTTACATTTTTTAACTGTTCGTCCGAAATTTGTCCATTTGTATCATATATGAGTCCAAAATGATCCATTCGGAGCGTTGTGTGACCGCAGTCATGATTCATTGCCTAAGATCGAATGCAATAATATCAAATATTTGTATTACATTTGCTGATAAATGCCAGCGATTCTTATATACAAAATGGTTTGTATCCTGACTGACCGACTGTTGTTTAAGCTAATCATTTTTACCTGAAGTTTTTCTTATGTGATATAGGTGACGGCTAAGACGGGGATTTTTATATTTCCAGCAGGAAGTGTGGAAAAATCGCAGCTGTGTTGATTGACTTCAAACTGACTTTCAATCATGTTTGTGAAAATATGCTTGATACGTGTTTAACACTTTTCGGAAGATGCATCCCTCATGAATGAATAATGTGGGTCAAAGGCTGTAAATATACAAGTTTATCGGCTTCAAATAGGCGAAAGCCCTTGATTCCAACCTGCAACTACTACCTTTGTAAAATACACCCCGAACACGTGAGTTCCGGGTGGTATGGGTAGATTTTAATTTTCCAAGGGCAAAATGTATGTCTAAAATTTGAAGCAAAAAACTTGTAAAGGTCAAGGCGGAGAAATATCAACTAGTACTGAATTATTATCACATATTGCTTAGTCTTGAACTTCAAATAACCTTTCAGACTGCCAAATAAGCAAAAAAAAAAAACTGAGTGCAAAGGTATTCAATCAGCTGTTATTTTTTGTTATTATTGCCCTAAATGTGCGACAATTTGTGTTCAATAAAAATTGCATCTGAAATAGCATAATTAACATCCGAAACGCAATGTGTTTATAATTGGATATTCAAATCAAACAAGAGCCAGGCTTAAGCAGCTGATAAATTGCAAAACACTGCATCATAAAACCTATAACCAAGCTTGCTTCTGCTGTTTAAGTAGCTGGTGCTGATCAGCTACCCAACAGTGATAGTGGCAGTGACAGGAACAAAGACACTAGCCGACCGTCTGCCCGCTTCGATTATCTGCATGTATGCGTCTGCGCAGATGCCTGTTCGCTTCGCAGCTTATTTGATTTGGCTTTATGGATATGAGCCCGAGCCCGAGCCCGAGC